CAGATGATCAGTCTCAAAAACTTTTGAATTATTCAACTACAACTACTTTCTATACAGTTTAATAAATTAAAATCAATTTTATTTTAATTTACTTATATATATGTATGTCAAATTATAGTATTTTTTTGAATCTCTCTCATTTTAAAACGCTCACATTTTTTGTTGAATTAGAAATTGTGTGATATATTTTCTCAGTTAGTCCTTTTTTTGTGCAATTTGATGGCAGTGCTAACTTTGTCTTAGTACTATTCATTTTGCACAGGACGAATAATTTTATATCAATCAAATGTTGCAATTTTTTGTGATAAATTAGCATACATTATTGATTTCAAAAAAGTTGCAACAAAATTATTACTCATTTCTGATTTAAGAATTGTTTCTCGAATTATTACGTCATTTTATTGCTTAGAGAAACTGGTTGTTGCTGGTTGGTTTATGTATTCTGTTTTGTCTCACAAAACTATGAATGAATTATTGCTTAAAAGTAATCAAATTAAATTAAAGTCAGATGTTGTAGCTTAAGTTATGAATGTGTTTATTAACAATGTGAGTAATATTATAGTTTGTCTCGAAAATTTGAAAATTATGATTTGAATATAATCAATTATTTATGCACAGATTACTTAGCAAAAATATTGTAAAACTTTGTCTTTCAAGATGGATTTTATAATTTTATTAAATAATGACACATTATAATTTTAAAAAATAACTGAAAATGATTAAATGAGTAGTGTACAATTCATAATGCACTGCTTTTCACAGTTACTCATAAAATGTGATCTAGATATTTTTATAGGCATTTTTGATTTAAAAATGTGGCATTGTTAGCTAAAAAGTATTTTAAGTGTTTTTCTTAATTTTTTTGTTGTAAAAACAATCACCAAAGCATTATTCTACATAAATTGTCAATTAATCGAATATCAAAGTAATTCATTACCGTCCATATCAGAATAATTTATTATAGTGCATATACTGCTAATAATGATACTAACAACAACGATATTATTGCTAATAATATTCGATAAGTTTCGAGAAATCTGATATGCAAATTGATTTATTTATTCGTAATTATGTACTCAAATTTATTCATAGTTGTAATGCTCAAATTCATATGCATCTTGCACGGATAATGGTAAATTTTTAGTCAGTTAGTTTGATGATAACCCTTTTCCTTTTACTCTTATCTCAGCATTCTTTTAGCACATTTTCTATTATTTACCAAATATTTACGTTATATTTCATGTTATAATAGAATATGATTTGAAAATTCAATTAAAATGAATAATTTATAGAAAAACAAACAGAAAGTATCGCTTGTTTGTGCACATAGCTTTATTTATTTGAAGGTAAAATTCATTTTCGATTTTCCTCAAAAATTTTTCATCATGGGAAAAAAATTCAGTGCCATTGTAAAGATATTTATTTAACTTATAATTTTTAATTTTTTGAAGTTAGTGAAGTATTAAAAATGATTGCATTGTATACGTATCGGTGATGATTATTATGTTAGTGATAAAAGTATTTGTCTGACTATGAAAAGTATCTTTAATCTAAGAAAACTATACTAGTACTGTTTCATATTTCAGAAAATATTTTCATACGGAAAGTTGCGATGAGAAAGCGAATATTCACAATACTTCTTCTGGGCTCTCTCGGAACAATGATGATACTATCATTTAATCGTGATTTTACTCGTCTTACTGTCGTACAGTTCTGGAAAGGAGAAGAAATTGAAGTGGAACCACTAAATATCGCATCTGCTTCTTCCAGTTGCAATAATTCTGCTCGCAATGCAACCGACTGCGCCGTAATCAAAAGCTCTATTTACGATCAAATGGTATTTTGTTATTATTAGTTTTAACAGTTTGACTTATGATTAATTTAGTAAATAATGTAACTTTTCAATAATTAAAATTATTCTTATTGCATAACTGATACTATCACTTTTAATTTTTTTCATATTCAAATCCAATTTTACTGTTTATATGTGAAAAATTAACATTTACAAAACTTTTGACAAAATTATTACAGTTTACTGTAAATTGTGTTCAACTTAAACAGTTAATTTTTTTTTCGTTTTTTAATAAACTCGCGAGATTCGAATATTAATAAAGCTTTATTGCAATCATTTAAAAGATTTCATTGCAGTTCATTTCAGGAATTTAAACAAAGATTCATTTTTTGAAAAAGATATACTTTTGTAGAGGATTTCTTTTTGTAGTTATATCCTGAATATAAAAAAAAAGAGGATGGTAAATGAATAAGCTTAGGCAGCATTAAAAGGAAACAACCTGTATAAATATCAGATCCAATTTTTATTAAATTTGTAAAATAATAATGAAGATAGAATTTTATTATCAGATATACATAATGGCCGCTTATGTGACGTCCTCTTCAGCAATCCGATTGACGGCTATTGCAAAATGTCAAACAAATGTACGTCTAAACTTGCATCTGAAATTAAACGAGTCAGCATATGCTGTAATACCGCTAATTCAGCAGCCTATCCTTCCTTGTCCGTGGTTTTTTGCTAAAAAGTCTGTTTCTTCTTTTCTATTTACTGCTTACTTGCTCAGAAATTTGATTAATTAATAGTAGAAATTGCAGTTATTTATTTTGTTAGAATTATTCTTTCATACAAGAAATAGTACTTTCAATTATTAATATTTAAGTATTAAAAAATTAGTTAGTATGCCAATTTTCGATCAAATGCACATTTTTGAACTCCATTATAAATTTAATTGAGTAACAGTTCAAAGAACACATTTAATATTATTTTATTTTGCTGTTATCACAGTAACAATCATTTACTTTTAACAGATATCGTTCTTAGCTAAACAACTAATAATAATATTTGTCTTATTATAAATGAATATTAAAATCTGATTCAAATTTACATTTTTATACTGTTAAATAATTTTCACTCAAAATTCAAATATTAATTAAGGTGCGATTTTGTTGGTTATTTTGCGAAAACATCAAATTCAATTA